GTCATTTTTCCCCTTCTTTCTACTCTCAGCCTGCAGGGACAACCAAAACAGATTTGGATACAAAAGAAAGCTGTTATTATACTTTGCTCTTGGCCATGGATTTCCCTTTATATTTAAGATGTGCTATAATATTCTATTTTCTCCCTTTTTCTTCTATTCTAAAAACCTAAAAGGGTACATCTCAACTTTTTGAGATGTAATTCACATACCATATTATTCATCCATTTAAATTGAACAATTCAGTGGTTTTTACTGTATTTTCATAGTGTATAACTATCACCACCGTCAATTTTAGAATGTTTTTATCACCCCAGAAAGAAACTCCATATCCATCACTCCCTATCACTTCCCATTTATTTCTCCCAACTCCCACAGCCCTAGGTAACCACTAAATCTACTTTTTCTCTATATAGATTTGCCTATTCTGGACATTTCACATAAATGGACTTATACAATCTGTGGGTTTTTGTGTTTCTTATAGTTTCAAACCTCCATACCTGTGAGGTTTGAGCTAGTAGGTGGTTTTCCAGGTTGATGTAGGTACTTTGGGAGGTTGTTATCTACCCAGGAAGAATGAGGCAGGTTAGTTCTGAAGTGGGGATGGCTTAGCAGGTTCCTGGGATAGAGCCAGTCAGCAAAGACATTTGGAATTGGACTATCTTTCCTGTCCTGCAAGAGCACTACGTAAAGGGAGGTGACACCTAACTGCTTTTACTGCTGGTCTGCAAAATCACTGAGCAGCATGCTGAAGATCATCTTAAAGTCAGCACTGTTTTGATCAAAATATGTTTCTGGCTGAAAGTCTTTGGGGAGAAAACCAGTTATTTTACAAAGTTGATTGTCTCTGCTTTGTTACATGAAGTTCTTTTAATATTAATTTTTCAGTTGAGTTGACTTTCCTATATCCTATGCTTTGCCCCCAAATGCAGGTCAGAATGCTTTTCTGAACTCTCACTAGCTAGGTTCACTTTTACCCTCTGTATATTTCATCTGTTGCATCATATCCTGAGATGCGTATTATCTTCCTACGATCAGAGCAGGAGGAGTTCTCTCTCACACCATCATTTCGTTCTTATTGCCAGATTGATGTGTCATGTTTCCTTGAAGCCTGTTTGGGCCCAGAAATTACCCTATTTTCAAATTACAGAGGAATTATCCAGTGTGAGGAGCCAAGGGTCACGTGAAGATGATGGCCATGCTTCCCCAAGTGTGTCAAAGTTTAGAAAACTTTTCAAATAAGACACTAAAACAGCCCAACAAAATCTCATCCCTTTAGTTTTTGTACGGTATTAAGCATCATATATGATTCTCCTCACTGCTTGGTGAGTAAGGAGGGAACTGCCCTTATTCTGCAGGGATTTATGAACTCATACGTAGCAACTGTATCCTAGAAGGTAAAACTCAAACAGTCAGCGAGCCATTTGGCAGCAATCTGTGGAGCAGCCCAGCAGGAAGATAAACAATTGCTGTTATACCTGGGACTGTGGGAAGCAAGGAAATTGTACTTTTGCTATTGGCAACATTTTTCTGGAAGATGGGGAGAACTTAAAGCTCCCTGGTAGAGTTTAAAGTTTGGCATTACAGGAAAAGCAAAACAAAAAAATCTGGGAAAAAATTGTTTAATCTGATTCCTTTGGTTGAAAAAAATTCAAACTGCATAAGCATACAAGGGTATTTATTGGCTTATGCATACAGAAAGTCCAGTGGGTAGAAGTACAGCTGGATTCAGGGGCTCAAGATCTCTTCCTCTTTCTCCCTCTCTCTTGGCTTGGCTCTCCTGCATGGGTGCCGTTCTTGGGTGGGCTTTTCCACGTGGTGGCCACTGGAAGCTCCAGGTTATTATCTTCAACATGGAGCGAGGGGAAAACTTATCTTTCCCAGTAGTTTCAATATGGACTCCAGGATCCAATCTCATTGCCTGTTCCTTACCCAACCATTGTGGTGGGGGTGGGATGGAATATCCTAATTGGCCAGCCTAGGATATAACTTTACAGCTGGAGGCAGAGAACGTGATTAGTTAGCCCACTCAAACCACATAGACTGAGAGCAGGGAAGGATCTTTCTCCAAAGGAACACCAGGGTGGTGTTATCGGAAGAGTAGATCCTGTGTGCAGCCACACATCTGTCCGGTGCAGAGAGGAAGTCAAGAGCTCATTTGACCAAATATGTTCATATAAGTAAAGAACTGTCCTCTGCTAAGGATTAATGAGAGAAGATAGGAATAAACAACCGTAGCAGGGACTTAGGTAATAAATGGATTTCAGAAAAGCTAGGCATAGGCTGGGGACGGTGGCTCACACCTGTAATCCCAGCACTTTGGGAGGCTGAGGTGGGAGGATCACTTGAGCCCAGGAGTTAAAGACCAGCCTGGGTAATATAGCAAGACCCCATCTACTCAAAATATTTAAAAAATTGGCTGGGCTTGGTGGCACACGCCTGTAGTCCCAGCTACTTGGGGGGCTGAGGTGGGAGGATTGCTTGAGTCCAGGATTTCGAGGTTACAGTGAGCTGTGATCACACCACTGCACTCCAGCCTGGGTGACAGAGCAAGACCCTATCTCAAAAAAAAAAAAAAAAGGAGAAAAAAAAAAGAAAAGCTAAATGGGATTTATAAAGCAAATCCCGTTTTCCATTATAAAGTTACAACTACATTCCTAAAAGGAAACAAATCCATCAGATTTCTGAACTTCTGATGAAAAAGTGGTTATAATAGCTGCAGATCTGTAATACATACCAGGCCTTGTAATATATCGGTGATACAACACCTGCCAGAATTGCAGCTACCACCTACCAATTCACTCTTCTTTTGGGACTCTTTTAGAATGTAGAAGCTGTTTCCTTTCTTCTCTCCTTTAGTAAACGATTCATTTACCCTTTTTCAAGCCACCTACTCCACCTTGAACTTCCAAGGACTTCATCATTTCACACTAGATCAAACTACAACACAATGTCACATTTTGCCAACAGGGTTCTGCCACAACCTGAAACTCCTTTAAGAGCAGAACTTCTGCTTGTATAAAATTGGAGCCCCTATACAGGGAGGTGTGGCTTAGGGCCACATGCCACGCTCTTTGGAAGCAAAGAAAAAGAGGGAGGTGGGGAGGGCAGGAAAGAAGATGGGCAGACAGGTGCAGCCCTCAGCAGGCACGCTGCCTTCCCAGCTCACCAGATGTGGCGGGTAAGGAGCCGACTGAGGAAAGAGCGTGTATGTGATTTATAAGAGAATGGAATCACAACCTGTGACAGAAAACAGGATGTAAACTTCGCCTGCAAGGCTGTCCGTTTAAACAGGAGAATGGTAAACTCTGATGAAAAATAATTACAGATTTCTCAATCATTTGTATTACTCCCTCCCCTGCTTCTGTTCCTTAATCTCTGAAATTTATATCAAGACCGTATCATCGCCCCTTTCATTCGGGCATTCATTCATTTAACAAGTAATTATTGAGCACCTGCCGTGTGCTGGGACTCCTCTAGGCACTGGGCATACAGCAGGGAACGGAACGAAATCCTTGACTTTGCAGAGCTCACATTCATTCCAAGGAGGAAAGCAGACAATGAATAGGGACATACATAACATGTCACGTAATACGAAGTGCTAAGAAGAAGATTGAAGCAGGGGGAGAGGGATAAAGAGTGGCAGGGAAGGAGGCTGCCCTTTTGTGTGTGATAGATATGACCCGTGAACAGACATGATGGGGGTTTGGGAACAAACCTACCGGGAGCAGGAGCAGCAGCCAGGCAGAGGGGCAGGGAGGCAATGACACGGGCCAGGAGCAGCTTGCTGTCTCCTGCAGAATAGCGAGGCCACAGAGTTGCTGGAGACAGTGAATGAGGGAGAGAACAAAGGCAGTTGGGGGATGGGGACCGCTCATATTGAGGGAAAAAGGGAAACCACCAAGGGGGGAAAGAAGGTTACATATTTTAAAGAACAGTGAGGCAGAAGAATGAAGAGGCCTGACTTACGATTTAAGCTGGATCGTTCCAGCTGCAATGAGGGACAAGGGTGGAAGCAGGGAAACCAAGTAGGGAATTATTGGGAAAGTCCAGACCAGAGATGTGGACCAGGGAGGTCGAGATAGAGGTGGTGAGAAGCATTCTCGTCCTGAATATGTTCCAGAACCCCCATTTCCTTCTTTGTTTTGTTTTGTTCTCTTTAAAGTATGTAACCCCTTCCCCCACCCCCAATAATAATATTTGTGTTTATGTAGTTTTGAGACCAGGGGCTTTGTTCTGTTGTTCTGGTTCTGTCTTGGGTTGTATTTAAAGCTTCCTCAGCACAGGGTTTGGCTCAGGTCATGACAACACTGTTGCAGTTTATACATTTAGGAGCTGGTGGCATGGAGGGGACAAAGGATCAGCACGTCCTAGGAAGGGGATTTAAGGGCAGGATCTTCCCAAGTTCTGTTGATCAGGGAGCTCAGCCATAAGCTTAGGTCTAGCACTGATCATGCCCAGAATGCTCTGAAAACATTTCCTTGTGGAAATGGCTCTCATCGTTGGCAGTTTCACCGAGAGAAATGATCCTGGCATGGAGAGCTGCCGCGAAGGCAGTAGGCGCTGCTGCGCTTCAGTAGTGTTGGTTGCTGACTAGTATTGTCCCTGTTGGCAGGGACAGATTGAGAGTCCCAGAATCAGGAGGGTCCCTAGAGGGCCTTCCATACAGTCTTTTCCTGCTGTTGAGTGAATCCCTGCCATGATATATGATCATCTGGCCTCTGCTTCAAGAGTCTGTAATCCATAGATTGCAGAATGTCAGTGCTGGGAGTGACCTTAGAGATCATATTGGACTGGACTGGAGAAAACCAGGAGCCTGAACTCCCAGGCCCATGTTCTTCCCACTCCACATGTCGTCTCTCCAAATAAAGCGCAGCCCTTGCTGGTAGGATCACAGAGGTGGGTCTCAGCGTCTCTGTGTTCATCCCATCACAGCATACCTGGTTTATTTGCCTTTCAATCCTAAACAGTAATGAATCCTTTCTTTTTTTTCTCAACCCCAGGGATTGCCCTGCTCTCAGATGTGTACCCTGAGAAAATCCTGCCGGACCTGTTGGCGCAATATGACAGTGACAAAGACAAGCACACGCCAGAGACCAGAATGAAAGTTGGGGAAGTCCTGATGCGAATTGTCAGGGCGTTAGGTGAGTTTTCCTGTTCCATCCATCTGGAACGGGGTGGGGAGCAGTGTGACTTTGAAACCAAAGTGTGTGTGTACCTGGCGGTTTGTTACGCGAGCATGACGAGGGCATTTTAGGGGCTGAGATGAACTAGTTAGTCCCTGTTTAGAAATTTAGCCAATATCCAGACGCCCACTAGGAGATTGGCAGCAACAGTGTCCTTTTTCCTGCCACTGCTTAGCCTCCTTCCCCTGGAGCTATATTGGGCCTCCATTTTCAGTGGAGCTGGAATGAGAAGTTTCATACTTGAGCAGCAGCAAGCATAAAAAGAAGAGGAAAAGGCCGGCACGGTGACTCATGCCTGTAATCCTAGCTCTGTGGGAGGCCGAGGCGGGCGGATTGTTTGAGCTCAGGAGTTCGAAACCAGCCTAAGCAAGAGCGAGACCCCGTCTCTACTAAAATTAGAAAGAAATTAATTGGATAACTAAAAATATACAGAAAAAATTAACCGGGCATGGTGGCGCATGCCTGTAGTCTCAGCTACTCGGGAGGCTGAGGCAGGAGGATCACTTGAGCCCAGGAGTTTGAAGTTGCTGTGAGCTAGGATGACGCCACGGCACTCTAGCCCAGGCAAAAGAGTGAGACTCTGTCTCAAAAAAAAAAAAAAAAAAAGGGGGGGGAAAGTCAAGCAGAGAAGGAAATGTGCTAACTCTTGTTGAATATCTACTATGTGCTGGGTTGTCAACACGTACAATCTCATCTAATCCTCCCAACAAATCCTATAAAGAGGCTGTTATTATACCCACTTTATAGATGAGCAAACTGTGGCTCAGCAGTTTGTCTAAGTGCTAAGTGGTAGTGCTAAGAACTGAACCACCAACTTGAAGGAAGTTGCTCTAGGCTGTCTAGACTGAGAGTAGTAGTTAAGAGATAGGCTCTAGACTTGTACTGCCTGGGTTCAAATCCTGAACTGCTTCTCATTGGCTGTGCGATCATTGGAATGTTTCTTTTTTTTTGAGACAGAGTCTGGCTTTGTTGCCCTGGCTAGAGTGCCGTGGCATCAGCCTAGCTCACAGCAACCTCAAACTCCTGGGCTCAAGCAATCCTTCTGCCTCAGCCTCCCAAGTAGCTGGGACTACAGGCATGCGCCACCATGCCCGGCTAATTTTTTCTATATATATATACTTTTAGTTGTCCAAATAATTTCTTTCCATTTTTAGTAGAGACGGGGGTCTCACTCTTTCTCAGGCTGCTCTTGAACTCCTGACCTTGAGTGATCTACCCGCCTCGGCTTCCCAGAGTGCTAGGGTTACAGACGTGAGCCACTGCGCTTGGCCTGAAATGTTTCTTAACCTCTGGGTGCCTCAGTGTCCTCATGTATAAAATGAGGATATTAATAGCACTATTAATAGGGGTATTGTAAGGATTAAATAAGGTAATACTTAGAATAGTGTTTGACACACAATGAGGGCTCAATAAATTTTTATTTTTGCCTAAGTGAAAAAGAAAGATTAAAAAAATTTTAAAGATTAAAAATTGAAGAAAATAAATACTTTATTATTTACTATTTATTGAGTGCCCACATGGATCTAGGAGGTGGGATACTGGGGGACAAGGACAAAGCAAATAATTGTTCCTTCTAAAAGAAAGAGGTTAAATTAAGATGAACTAATGAATTTCTCCATAAGCCAGTAAGTACCCTTTGGATATTTTTATCCTTGGCCATACAACATAGAAGTAAGAGAAGATTAGTTTCTTTAACTTGTGTTCCATAGACTTAACCATTCACGGACTACCACAGTAAACATCACTAGAAGCCTTAAAATAAGGCAAACCAGTCATTTGGGTGAGGGCCAGTGATGTATAGTATCCATTTGAACAGCCAGCTGCCCTGTTGAATTTTGAGAATTAGGTTCTATTTGGGGGCCGTATTCTCACCATGCATGTCCTGTATCAGATTGTGATATATAAAGTGTAGTTGTCAGTGGTTAATATTTGGTTTAATAGCAATGGCACACTGAATTGGACTTATTTCCTTCCTTAAGTTAGATCAGCATTTCTCAGGTACTGATACCTGTCCTTGGCCTTTTAGTAATTCCATGATATATCCACTAGCATATTACCTAAGGCAGAAAGAGAAGAAGCAATCTCAACGTCAGTTTGGCTAATTTATCCCTGAGCTATAGCAAAATTTGTAAATTTTACTCTTTACTTACTAGGGGAAGATTTTGGAGAACAACTAGCTTTTTGTCACTTGTATCAAGAGATCACATTGAATTCTTTCTTGACCAATATTTCAGAGGACTTACAGAGATTCTGTATAACCATGTACCGTTTCTATGGACATAGCCCTCAATTTTCCTAATTTCTGGGTGACTGTTCTGGCTAAAGATGATAGAACCTAGATCTCCATCCACTTAAGTCCTTTTATCAGTGAAAGGAGAATTTCATGATAGTGAAATTAAAAAACATTTTTTTCTACTTTTTGAAGAAAGATGAACCTTCTAAATTTGCCTTAGTCCTGAATTTGGGTCTAAAACATACCAGACAACCATTATAAAAAAATCGTTCTCTCACAGTAGGTGTGAATGTTAAGCTTAAAATATCACAAGATCGAGTGCAGTGACTGATTTCCGTGTGTATTTGCCATTGGGATTGTCAGAGCTGAGAAGCAATGTCAGCCTTACATAGACAGCATCCACATAGCATCTGTTTCCTCTGCACCCTCTGGCAGACCTCTGCCATTGGGGTGACAAATGCTGAAAGTGCACATTTCACAGTCTCCACTGGCCAGTCCACTCATTTCCTGGGGTAAAAGTGGAGGGGGATGAAGGGCTGGGTTGCGTGGGAGAAGGACTTACTCCTTCTTACATACTCTAATACTTAGCCCAATTTCCAAAATGGTCTTCTGGCATTTCAAGGCAAATTCTGTCAATTCTCAAAGTTCTCATCTTTCTATAGCCTTCTCTTCAATATCCACCTGTAAACACAACCTTAGCTTTAACTGCTGGTTTCTGGTTCACATCACCCACTTGTCCAGGTGCATATTTGAGGCAGCTTCTTAAAATCCTATAGGTGAAATGAAAGCCTATTTTTACAACATAGCCAATGTATTCTTAGTTTGCTAGTGTTGTAATCCTGGAAATCCTTGTGAACAGCCACTGTGTAAGGCTTCTCTAGTAAATGCCCTAATTCCACCAGCCCAGGCCTTGCCCTCTGCCTACGCCCATCTCTTTGCAGTGGTGGGAGTTTGGTGGGAGCCGAGGTGCGGCACACTACTGCTTGCTCTTGGCGTCAATTCTAGTTCCCTAGCCACACTTGCCTGTCTTCCTGCCGCTAGATAATGGTAGAAAATCAACAGGAGCTTTTTTCCTTTCCATTTTCAATAATCGAGATATTACATATATACAGTAAGGTATATACACTAATTTTAAGAGTATAGCTTTATGGCATTTTTTTTTTGAGACGGGGTCTCACTCTGTCTAATAACTTAATTTTTGTGTAGAACTGTGATAATTTCCTATGAAACATTTCTAAAAGTAAACCTTGTTTGTTAAAAGCATATGCATATTTTTGAAGATATTTATTGCTAATTTATTGCTAACTTACAGAGAGTTAGTTGTGCCAATTTATATCATCAATGTTTGAGAATGTTTGTCTGTACCCTCAGAAGCACTATATATCCTATATATTGCCATTCTTAAGCAATCTTAAGCAGATACATAAAGTGATATTATCTTGTTTTTATTTCCATTTACTCAGTTGATACGGTTAAATATTTTTTATGTATTTTCTATCTAAGCATTTGTGTATGTGGAGGGTGTGCATGTGTGTGGAATTACCTGTTCTAGTCCTTTATCCATTTTTTCATTGGAGTATTGATTTTGTTATATGATTTATAAAAGCTTTATATATTTAAATATCTTGAACCATTGACATTTATGTTGTGAATATTTTGTTCAATTTGTTGCTTATCTTTTAGTTTTATTCGTATTTTCTGTTTCATTTTGTTTTTGAAATGCATTTTTTTTATTTTGATGTAGGTAATTCTATCTTTTCCTTTATGGTTTCTCTCTTACATAGAAAGGCTTTCCCAACCATGATTATGTAAGTATGAATCTATCTATCTCTCTGTATGTATTTTTTGAGATGAGGTCTTGCTATGTTGCCCAGGCTGGACTCGAACTCCTGGGCTCAGGCAATTCCTCCCGCCTCAGCCTTCCAAGTAGCTGGGACTACAGGCGCATCTCCCTGCACCCAGCTTTATATATTTTTATCTCTACTTTTCAATGTTGAAAATATTGAGGAAGGATTTTGGTTTAGTCTCTTTATTTAATGAGTGATTCAGATTTTTGGGGTTTTTTTTTATACTTCTAGAAATTTAATCTTAACACATTGTTAAATTACCAATCATTCCAAATGTTTTTCCATCTGTTTCCTCACATGGTCCAATGTCAATGTTGACAATAACCTCTGGACTGTTATGTGTATTACATTTTTTAAAACTTCTTTAAAAACAACATATTTACTCTTTAGTAATACTTTGCTGATAGTACTGTGCCCGAGATATTTAATTGGTGATTGAGGTATTATTTGGTAAATGGAATTAAAGCAAAGGAGAATAAATAAACCTGTGGGGATATTTCCTTGTAAGATTGCCTGGGGAATTAATCTGATCTGCAGCAGACTACACTACTTTCTCACATATGCAATAAAGTTTGAATATCCCTAATCCAAATATCTGAAATTTGAAATGTTCCAAAATCCAAAACTTTTTAAGCACCAACATAACACTCAAAGGAAATGCTCACTGGAGCATCTCAGATTTTGGGTTTTAGGATTAGGAATGCTCAACTGGTAAGTATTCAGCAAATATTACAAAATGCAAAAAAACCACTTCTATCTCAAGTGTTTTGCATAGGGGATACTCAACCTGTATCTTTTTCTTTGGCAAAGCTAGACAAATGCTACCTAGTTCTTCTTTGTTCCTCTAGACCAGTGGTTCTCAAATGGGAGGTGAGGGG